TGATCAAGATAATGTTTTTACGTCAACATTCAAATTCATGCAGGTAGTTTGTCTATATGTTTAGGTTGTCTTTCTTCTTTTTCAGCTAAGTTGAGTATTAGGTTTTGTACCGTCGGGGTTAACCTCAATCTGATGACAGTTTAGTGGTACTGTTTACGTGGACTTAGCCGATTTTTTCTTGGGTGGATTTTCTCGATAATTTTTCAGACTGCAGTGAGATGTAAACCACATTTCTGCAATGTTCACGAGCAACATCCTTGCAATGTGCTGTTCCTCGACAATTTTCAAGTTAAAATTTGGAAATTTTTGAAATTTTTTTTCGAAAAAACGACTAAGTGCTTGTAAACAGTACCACTGAACTGTCAAAAAGGTTCAGCCGATTAACACTGAGTTCATTCGTGACGTCACGCTGCAGAACCTAGTTAGGCAATCGATTTTTTCCAGGCCTCAGCGATATTGTGTTTTTTGGTCACGATCAAACTCCAGCTGATGTTTCCGGATTGCATTGTGAAATTGAAAAAGTTGTTCGAAGGGGCAGAATCAGCGAATGAATGAAATTTCTTATGAAAAAAAAAAATCTAAACTTTGTAAGGAGAATCCCGAAATCATTACAATGCCATAATAAAGTATCAAATATTCACACAGCAATAGTTTTTAATAAAAATAAACCGAATAGATTATTTAAATAAAAAAGATTGATTATTTTTGTTTTACGAAATAGTTCGGTAAAAACTACCGAACCGCTCGGTAAAAAACTACCGAAACGTTCAGTAATGTTGACAGTTCATCAACAAAATTGTTTACGGATCGTTCGGTAGTCTTTTCGATTACCGAACTGATTACCGAACGTTCAGCTGTTGAAAGTTCGGTAAAAAATTACAGAATACGGTAAAAATTTCTAAGTGTGTGCGCTGTAGTTGTCGAGAAGGCTAATAGCATAGAGGTAACTCCAAGACCAGATGGTCCCGAAGAAACTTTTTGGCTCAGCTCTGGTTCAATCTTCAGTCCCAAGATAATCGTAACCTCTCGTAACATACAAGAATCCACGAACCCCTCATTTTATCTGTCAAACTTTCATAGCGAATCAAAACAAACATGGTGTAGTACTAGAATTTCGACTAGAATGGGATACGTTAATCGATTTGCTTGGGACCAATAGGCTAGTCAAATAGTGAGCCAATTTAAAATCGTTAGTTTCCACCGGTTGATAATAGCTCCTGCGTGAAATGTTGAGCTATCAGGATCTGGATACAGGAATCCACTATGAGATGGACTCCACGAAAGGCCTGCTAGATTGAAGTCACCTAAAATGAATATCTCATCAACTGGAGTGGCACCATAGAGGTAACTCTAAGACCACTGGGTCCCGAAGAAAATCATTATTATTTTTGGCTCACTCAGTACCAGAACAACGGTCCCAAGCAGTCCCAAGCTATTTCACTCACCCCTGCATGTTCTGCATGAATCCACACACCCCTGATGTTATCTGTCAAACTTTCATAGCGAATCAAAACAAACATAGTGTAGTAATAGAATTTCAACTAGAATAGGGTACGTTAATCGTTTGCTTGGGACCAATAGGCTACTAAAGTGGTGAGCCAATTTAAAATCGTTAGTTTCGTATTGATTGTTGGTGGCACTCTCGATTACTGTGAAAACTGACCGACAGTGTGTATCGATCAGGTGGAATGTACAGAGCGCATAGGAATAGTGTGCGATCACCCAGATTGATGGCTATCCAAACCTGCTCCACATAGTTCCATGAATCGTTCTCGATGGCCTTTGCCTCCAACCCGACACGGACTGCTACAAGGACACCTGTCATAAATAAGTCTGGCGGAATACGAGGTGTGTGGCATATATTAGCGCTAGTGTAAGCAGGTCTTAACTTGACGCTTAACGAGTCAGCAAGCCATGTGTGCAGCCCTCCGTTGTAAGCGTAGCAGTTCAATGCTGGTAAACAGAGGTATCTATGGCAACGCATCATAAACACACACGGGCAACTCTCCACTCACTTACGAAACCAGCTCTTCACAAGGTAAGTTGCACAGGAGGGTTATTTGAAAAAATTTCCATCTGTCGAATTTAAGAGAAAAATCCCGAAATGGAACACATCCTTAGGGGTATTGAAGTAATTGCAATCAGATTATGTATAGTAACCGATATACCCAACTGATGTGACGGAATCTCTGATTTATCAATTCTGCGATAAAGATATTCAAGCCCGTTATTTGCTTAATTTGTCCAGATTATGAAATTCATTTTTTTTTTTCCTGTGATCTTGAAATTGTCATAGACCTTCTACAATTGCATGAAGTTTCGAAAAAAAATCGAGATTCAGTATTCTGACTATTTTACTTTATGATCTAGATAGTTTTCCAAGCCTATGATGTTAAAAATCGTCTAGGAAAATGTTCAATCCCTCAACATTTTTTTAAAGGCCAGGCAATTAAAAAATATTTGTAAATCGGGTATTTGTTCAAACATCAAGAAAAAAATTCATGTTACAGAATCTTGAGTATTGTAAGTCCAGTTTTTGTTTAAATGTCACATCCAAGATCAGAAAATGTTTTCTATTTTTCATGAGCATTGGTCAAGGACTGTAAACTTATATTCCAAAACTCTAAAACTAATCCCTGAATCCGTAATTTTTCACGATCGAGATTTTAAGTTCTAGACACATTCATATGTTCTTTTATGTCCGTGATCTTCCATCCTGGAAATTTTCCTCGTTCCAGAATAATGAGATTTTTTCTTAGACTGCGATCTAGAAAAGTTGTCTAGCTCTACGGTTACGGTTAGCGATATTGCAGTCAATTTTAATTGTTTATGGGAAAGTTAGAAGATACAGGCATACCTCGATATAACGTAACCAACCGGTGAACACTCGTGTTTATTTCAGTTACCATGCGACGTAATTTGTGATTAGCCCCGGTCCCTTTCAAATTGTATCATTATTTGCGTACGGCCCTTATATTTGAAATGACATTTCACATTCATCTAGTGGTGGCCAATTTTCATTCGAATAATCGGTTAATCGATTAACGAACCGAAAAGTAAAATATTTGTAATCGGTTATATCATGCCGATATAAGCATTAACATCTCCAGCGGATCATTACCGATCGTTTAAAACATGTGCTGCACTCTCATTGGTGGAAAAATGGCAGCACAGTGAACAAAAAATAATCGATTAGTTGTTAATCGAGTAATTAAAAAATGGGACATCTCTGATTTTGGTGTGATTGTTTTGATAAAAATGAGCGCAAAATTTCATCTCTACCGAGGGGGCAGCAAAACCACAAAATTGCCTTGAATACGGGGGTATTCATTGGATGAAAGGGACCGTGAAAGAGGACACTAAAATTGAAAGTTTTTCTTCCGACAGTTTCATCTTAGTATTCATCTTTGACGTAACTGTCACTTTTGACTTCCATAATTCCATTTAACAATTGAATCATATACATTAATATTACCAATAGATGGGAGATTATCTCATCTGTCCGATGGTGTTATTACTTTTCTTGTTTGAATAATCGTTTGCGAAAAATCGGCAGTGGAAGTCAAAAGTGACAGTTACGTTATATCGAGGTATAACTGTACTGATAAGTAAGCACATATCATCGGAAAGAGGACGTGTGTGTGAGAAAATTTGCGAACAAATCTAAGGGCACCGGTGGGATTCGAACCCACAATTCCCATTCAGTACACGGGTGCATTGCCAATTATACAACGGTGGACCTATGAACGAATTAAAAGGAAATAAACTAACACACTCAAAGCTGTTCATAAAATAGTCACATTCGAAGTGTTTTTTTTTTGCTATCGAGCATGAAGCTTTAGTGTGAATTTATTAGCTAGACAAAGGTCTGAAGAGGGTAGGTTGATAGTTCCGCTAGAGTACGCAGTATGAAAATTGACTAGAAGTTGGGCCATTAATGCGACAGTACTAGTCAAACGCACACTTCTTTACCTATCTGATGCATTCATGGAGGAAGTGCGCGTTTTGTGGAATAGTGCTAGCGACGTTGCATCACTACCTAAAGCACCACGTTGCCGAAAGCATTTCTAGTCGATGGTGTGTTATAATGCAATTCTTCTTTAGCTAACTATTGCGTTGCTCCTCTCGTCATGACCAACGTAGTCATCTCATAGATAAAGCAGTAGGGTGGTTGTTGCGTGCTGTACCATCATCAGCATTGTTGACGGTTACTCCCGCCTTGAGTAGTTACATTCAAAGCGTTTTTTGTCACTTCATACGTCTAGTTCACGATTTTCAGATTTGTTTGGAGATGCTATAAATAGGTTGCAATCAAATTCCTGGTTCAGTGGCCACCCTGGAATAAGTAATTGGTCGCCATTTGCCAACTTTGGCGACAAAAGGTCGTATGAATAAAAATAGTTTACCGTCCTTTTCCCGTGCTTTTCTAACGGAACTCTTTTATTCATATGTCCTAAAGACTGCAGATGCTGCTCGTCGAACATTTCAACAGGGATAAAGTGTACATTTTTCTACAGCGCACAAAATCGAAAATACACAGGCATAACTTTTGTCATCGTCTGTGCTCCATCGAAAGTTGTGCTTCGGAAATATGAAAGCGGTAGATACAGCATGACTATTTGTCTAGGAAGAATGCGTCCCAAACAAAAATAATATATTACCAATAATTCCCTAGCGATGGTTCCTGTGCTGTGTAGCCTACCATTTTAAAATTACGTTACCCCTTCTAACTAAAAATTCTGTTAGTCTAGAATGGATGCCTTGATGATCTAGTTTAATGGTTAGTCACAATGCTAAATGAGTTTACAAGCAATCGATGGGTTATGGCGGTCCAACATTCCAATATCTAAGAGTTAGTGTGAGTGATGTCGTATGATACCCAACGGATGAGTTACGGGACTGCTACAGCAATGAACCAACAACGTCTTCTACCTCAACTTGATCCCACACACAATCACCGAAATACCCGAAATAGAGAACAAATCAAAATTGATATCTACCGCCATGGGAGCAGCCGTCTGAACCCACCCACAATGAATGGAGTTGTTGTGGAATTTGCAGCACCGTAGTCGAACATCCAGCAGGGAGAGTCAGGGTCCAGTCAGATAAAAAAAAAACGAAATCAAACACACTCAGTCACACACAGCTTCATTGTGGCGGAAGCAAGCAAACTCACCTGACCATACGCGTACATGTTGTTATGCGTCTGCGAGGGGTTCACCTTGGACAGCAGGAAACGGGCCTGCGATCCGCCCTGCTCCGTGTCGATGTACCGCGGCATGGGGAAGCGGGTTTGCAGGATTTCCTGGGCGTCGTCCACCGGCGCCTGCAGCAGCTGTTTGAAGTTCTCGTACTCGGGCATGTCCTGGTACTTGCGACTACGCCACTGGGCAATGGTTTCGCCGTGGAAAATGAGAATTTGGAAGAAGGTATCCATCAGGAGGATCCGATCCGGCTGGATGGAGGAAGTGTCCAGCAGTACGGGTTCGGGAGGCCCGTTGAAGGAGTATGAGTACAGGATAGGTTGGATCATGATTAGGGACTGAGTAAGATCTTCTCTCATGAGCATGTGACGGTAGAAGGTGGTTTCGTCGGGAGAATTGTTGAAGACCTGCAGGAATTGGGACCGACGGAGGTGGTACATGAACTGTGGGAAGAGGGAGAAATTTTCCGCCAGCCGGAAGGTGTTCGGGTCGTCTTTGCTGTATTCGCCGAATTTCTGACAAAGGCGGATGAGTTGCCGATCGACCCAACGGAGGGTGTCCGGACCGTCGTCAGATTCTGCTCTGTAGACGACCATTCGAGACATCAGTACAGCAGCGGCTTCCTGATCGAATCCGGCACTGATCATGTGCAGGTTGGAGGTTGCGTCAGCCCAACTTCGCGCCACTGTTGTGACCCGAATCCGCCGTTGTCCACTGGAATGTTGATACTGACTAATAAACTGGAGACAACCTCGTCCGCCCTGCGGGATCGGAGCCGCATGTTGATTGGCGACTTCGAAGAAAAATGCCATCGTGCTGTTGGGGGTGATTGTGCACAGCTTCCATTGGGCCGTGTTGCCCATCCCGATTTCCGAATCGGAAACGGAAGCGTTCTTAACGTTTAGCGACACGCACGATCCGATGCCGCCTTCGATCTTCAACTCTCGCGAACATTTAATCTCCAAGGTTCCGTTGAAGGCCATCTTTAGGTCTCCCTTCTGGTCCACGGCAAATACTCTCTGGTAGGTTTGTTTGAACAGGGACGAGTTGAACGAATCGCCCATAACCATGTGACCACCGGTGGAGTTACAACACTGCTTCATCTCCATCAGGCCAGTTTGATCCAACGCACAGGAGTAGATGTCGATGCAGTGCCCGTTGGTGGCCGTCCTCAGCGCTAGCGATTCATAGTGTTTAATTGCTTTCTTCATATACTTTGCATTGTCCTTCTGGATGTCGTGATGCGAACGGATCGGGTGCTTCAGTTCATCATCAACAACTTGACCGGGTCCCTGCGAGCATGGTCCTCCGAGGAACGTCATGATCCTTGCTCCCGTATTCGGGTAGGTACATTCCAGTAGACCAACGGCAATCGACAGAGCCGCACCAGAAGATCTCAGGAATCGCTTTCCTTGCGGAACTGGCCACGGATCTCGCTGCAGTTCTCCCAGTAGGTCAGTCAGTGCCATGTCGCACTTGTGAAGTGGCTGAAGGAAACGATTCGCTGGTGGAACCGGCCCAGCAGGCACACGCATCTGCTGCTGTCCCTGGCCTGGCTGATTTGGACCCGGACCTCGTCCGATTCCCAACATATCCTGAATCTGCTTAGCCGACAGATCTTTCGTTCCACGGAATACGTAGCTTTTCGAGCAACCATCGGTTCCCAGCTCGTGGACCTGAACCATCTTGCCGAAGGTAATCAGCCCGACCAAGGCATTGGCCGGAAGCAAACTAAGCGACATCTGCAGCGAATCCTTTAGGGCGGTCAGTTCCTCCTCGTCCATGCAGGTGTCCACCACGAACAGAAACACCGGCGGTAGGCACGGTGCCCGAGTAATGGTGTACTCAATCGTACTGAATCCGGCAATCAGTTCCGCCGGCTGGTGTTGCTCGGAAATGGCCGCATACTGCGGTGGGAACGGGTTCCTCTGGAAACAGAAGTTACACACCCACAACTTGGCCCGGTAGTCCACCTGGCACATCGGGTTCAGAATCGCCCGGCAAGTAGTTCGGGTGCATACGACCGGATCGTACATGATCGGTGGCAAATCCGGTCGTTCCTTCAACGGCTGGTACAGGCAACCCAGTGGGACCACCAACCGGCTAGTATCAATCCGGCTCGATGGCCAAACGTTCCACGTAAACCGGATGCCATCGCGGTCTTCGTTTTGCTGGATGAATTCTTCGTACGTCGTCATCCCTGTGGAGAGGGGAAATTCAGGGTCAGGTTCAGAAATCTCGGAGTTCAACCGACCTACCTTTAAATTTTCACCGTTCTCCGGTGCACCAATAACAGTTCGCAACTTTTCAACACTTTTCAATCAAATTAGCACAAAACCAGCATAATTAACTGGCCAAAAACTTCCAAGAGTGCCACTTGGAATCGATTGCTAAGGAAAAAAGTCCACGACGAAAGCGAGAAACACGTCAGACCGTAGCTGTCAAGCGGTTTGCGTTTTCGCTTTTTCGCCACAAACACGTCACTTTCGCCCGCGATGACGCCCTTCAGAATTGAATGGAAAACTCGTGTATCACCGCGGCTCTCGTATTGTTTATGTTTATCCTCGTAAGTTCGGCACAGTCAAAAGCCGATCTTTGACGTTTGTTCGTTTTTGATGGGCGAGCGCAGCATTTACTCGCACAACTTTTCAAATAGTCCTATCGGTTCTCTTCATCGATTTTTCTTTCATTAATAACTCGGCTACAAAAATGTTTCCTGACGTATTTTTCATATATGATGCTGAATCATAACACTTTTCATTGAATTGAGTGTCGAAAAATTTCCGCAACTGCCTTTCGACGGTCATGGCGATTCAAATGGAAAGTCGATGAAGAGAACCGATCAGTATTGGTCTATTTAAAAAGTTGTGCGAGATTTCTTTCACCGGTTTACATGTTGTTTTGCGGGAGAATTTAGTGTAATTTTTCAAGGTGATAATGAATTTGGAACCGATCAACAATGCCCTGTCGCATCTGCGGATGCTCCGGTCCAGTGTGGGACAGGTTTTCGAAACGCTCGGCAACGGCGTTCGAGCCGAACACGGCGAAGAAGGCAAGGAGCAAAAGTTTCTCCAGGAACTGCAGGAGCTACTGAATGGGGTCAATTCCAACTTGCGGTGAGTTGAATATGATTCAAAAAGGTTGTAAGGGGTTTGTAATCAATTTCAAGTTGCAACGCAGGGAGTTTGAAACGTGCATCAATGACTTGACGCCACCGCAGGGGCCGTTCAATTTGGCCAACACGGCATACCTCTCGTTGGAAACCAATCTGGAACGGCAAGGCCTGTATCCGCATCTGGTGCAGAGCTACAAGTGGCACGACAAGCTGCACGAGTACAGTACCTTTGCATCGACACTGCTGCAGCAGAACTCACTCAAGCGGTCCTACTACACAAACACCAAGCGGAGGCGGTCACTTCCCTCCAGCCACCTGGCAACACCTCAGTAAGTTTGATAAAAAAAAAACATCCCTCAATTACCGATAGTTCACAACCAAATAATATTCTTTTCCTAGAACGGTAGACAACCTAATCGGCAGCATCCACTACCCGAACATGAACCTGAAGATTGTCCGCCCGTTCATGACCAATGCGATTCTTCACGTAAGACACATTTCGAAACCTAATTTCAGCAAAATAAAAATGAACAATATTTCCCCACCAAAAGATCACAATCGCCCGCGTCCTGCGAGCGGCGGTCATCCTCAAGGGTCTCCTAATCGAATGGGTCACCGTCAAGGGGTACGACGAGTCCCTGTTGGATGGCGTTGACGAGCACTGGACCGTGTCGCGGCATCAGGTTTTCCGCAAAGTGCAGGACCACGCCCACGCGGCAATGTTGCACTTCTTCTCACCCACGCTGCCGGAGCTGGCGATTCGAAGTTTCATTGTAAGTTGTGCCCCTCAAGACAAAGTTGAGCAGAGCTTATACTTAACGTTTTTTTTTTGTGTCTTCCCCACCGCAGACATGGTTCCGAAGCTACGTGACACTGTTTGCCGATCCGTGCAAGAAGTGCGGAAAGCATCTGCACAATACGCTGCCACCGACGTGGAGGGACCTCCGGACGCTGGAGCCGTTCCACGAAGAGTGCAAACAGTAACGTAAGTTAGCTATTCCCATCCATTTTCTTCCTTAAGTTCGTGTAATTTTATTTTGAGCAATTTTTCGGGCTCGTTCACAAAAAAAAAAACAAAATGAAATCAATCAGAAGGTGAAGATAGTTTGAAACCTACCGGATGAATCTTTATCACAGCCCTGTGTTCTTCATGCTAAGCAATAATTAACAATCGACATTGGAGCCTTGTAAACTTATTTATTACACTCTACAAGAAAACGGTTACATGAAAAAACTTATCCTATAAAATAGTACAATCCACTCCCACCCCCCACGTGCAGTCAGCACTCAATCCACCTCCAGCTTTCGAAAGCTTCCCGCCAAGCCGTACGTGCTGTTGTCCTTGAACCCGGAACATCCGTTCAAATTCTGCTTCAACGAACTGACCGATCCTTCCCGGGCGGCTTCCGGATACATTTCCAAATGTACGGTCATATTGTCATCGTTCAATATAACCGGTCTGTGCGCTTCCACCTCGGCCTTCCACAACCGGATCATTTCCTCCATCGGCGTAACACCTCCGTACTCCTTCGGCAGGAGGCTCTTATCCATCTCGATGTCCTTGATATCGGTGTACAGTCGGACGCGGTTCCTCAGCTTTTCCGAAATCAACGTCAGGCCCCAATCGACGGCAATCTTCAGCGCCGGATTAATGTTGCACCCATGCATCTCCCGGTGCCGCATCGGCAGCAGCCGTTCGCCATTCTTCGCAATCCTGACCGCTTCCTTGATTGAAAATAGCGTCAAATACTGTAGACCAATGCCAGTTCCAACTCCGGCATGTACGATTCCCCGGATCTGATTCTCCTCGTCCGCTAGTAGCGTGTCGTAGCAGATGGCATGAACCCGTACCATGTCCTCGTTGGTGTACTCGTTAAGATCGAACACCCCCGGCCGGTAGAACATCACCCGACGGTTGTTTTTGTCCCGGTTGGGCAGGGCAAACATGTAGCCCAGGTCCAGCAGCTTGGTCAACCGAGGTTGACGGTAGTCGAGATTCATGAACAAGCTACCATCCCGGACGAATCTGAGCAGCAGAAACCGTTCGATGTTTTCCTGTGCCAGTGGAATGCTGAACTTCTTCGCCCGCAGGAACTTCAACAGGAAGTTGGCATCTGAAAAGGACACAGTAGTATTTTTTTTAGCAAGCTTGTTGACGTTGAGGACGAAGCCGTAATGCGTGTCTTACCCATTCGAACTTTGACGATCCGGGGGTTCTTCTCAGCCCATTCGCGTAGCATTTTGAGAGCATGTTCTCGCCGGTCGTCCGTTTCGTTCAGCTCTTCCGCCGCTATTCGTCGAAGTTCATCCGAAAATGGGAACTTGTAATCGTCCGCTGCCGTGAGCGCCTTCGTGAACTTCATCGCTGAGTTCAGTTGTGTGACCTGGTGTGGGAAAGAAGGTAATATTCGATCAATAATATTCTATATCTGTTAATGATAGAGAGGGCGACATTCTTGCGCTAGTAACGGAATGCATTCCACGCGACGAACCAATTGAATTGGGCAGACTGTTCTTGAAAGGCACACGTTCAAAATCGTAGTGGACGAGATTAACTACTAGAACGTAAAGTCGTTAAAGTAGTTTGCAAAGACACCACGATTGCATTAGTATGCTGTTGTGGATCATCGAGAGATAACGGTCCCAATTGCCCCAACCCAGTCCCATCTGTCGCAGCCTTCGTTCTTCACAACCGTCTCGACCATGCGGTTGTACAGTTCTTGTACTTCTAGTTTTTTCGTTATGCCGAGTTCTGCCGCACCCAGATTTCCAGTAGTCACTCAACCCAAACTGATGTTGCTTCGATCGACGGATCAGTTTGTCATCAACCTTGCGTAGGCTATATTGATGCACACAAAACGTTTGATATATTCGTTGCGTTGCTGAAAAGTCTGGACTTATCTTCGGGAATGTCTGGAATGTATGGATTCATCGTCGAGAACGTCTGGAATCTTCTTCAGGAATGCCTGGAATCATTTTCAAGCACGTCTAGATCCTCCGTCGTAAACTTTTGGAATCATTTTCAGGAATGTCTGGAACCTCCTTAGGATACGTCTCAAATCTAAGTCAGTCTGGAATAAGTTTCGAAAACTTCTAGAACCTCCGTCGATTACATCTGAAATCAACTGGAACCTCCATCGGGAACGTCACAAACCTAAGCCTGGAATGGCTGGAATCCAAGTCTGGGAATGTCTAACATCTCCGTCGTGAACGAACCATCTCCGGGAATGTCTGGAACCTGCTTAGGAATCGTCACAAATCTAAGTCAAAAACGTTTGGAAACGCTTCCTTATAATTCCCATCCTCGGAATTCAATTAACACTCTTCGCAGAATTCCTTTGGAATAGTACCCTCAAAAATCAATTCGTTTGGATTTTTACGGATCCCCGAATCCTCTTAACAATTGACATCGAATTTTCCACAGAGCTACAAAATTCTACTTTGAACTTTCACAGTTCTTGTTAAAACTCTCCTAGAAGAGGTCTGCCCAAAACTCCATTGGTAATTTTCTCTGAAATACCTTGCTGTTTTCCCTAAAATCTCTTCAAGACTTCTTTGATAAAAACATTGAAAATTCGCTTGATAGTTCTTCAAAGTGACTTTATCATGAAAATCTAGTCCAGTCTAAACGCCCAAGCGCAATGACAGCGGAAAAGCCTAAGTAAGCCTACTCGTCGGATTGAAAACTAGTTAGAACCAAATCGACTTAGGTTAGGCATCTTGACGTAATTTGTGACAACTGTCGTTTGCCGTTTCCGTTCCGCTTCCGCCCACATTGTGTTTTGGCCTTAAGGGTCTTGAATTTTGATTCAACCCCTAAAATCTTTCATTTTCGATTAAAATTTTATGTTTTTCCTGATTTGATATTAAAATTCACGGGATTTTTTTCCGGTGCCTTAGAATTCCCGGCTTTTTCCCGGTTCCCGGTTCACTGGTCGCCCTGCCGTAAACTCCGTCTCGAATGTCCGTCTGTAAAGTTTGGAGTCATCTCCGGGAACGTCCCGAACCTGCTTAGAAAACATCTCGAATTTAAATCACGAACGTCTGGAAGTATCTTCGGAATCATCTGGAATCTCCGCTGAACACGTCTGGAAACTTCGTTGGGAACGTTTAGAATCTAAGTCAGGAACGTTCCTGTTCTTCGTCTTGAACGTCTGGAATCATCTTCGGGAACGTTTCGAAACTATGACAGGAACGTTTGAAATGCAGTTCGGTGACGACTGAAATCTCCATCGTGAACTTCTGGAATCCTCTTCGGGAACGTCATTTATCTCTGTCGGGAACGTCATTTATCTTGGTCAGGAACGTCTGGCAACTCCTTTCAAACCTCGTTCCAAACCGTCTAAAATCATTTGGAATCTTCGTCCAGAACGTTTAGAATCTAAGTCAAGAACGTTCCTGTTCTTCGTCGTAAACGTCTGGAATAATCTTCGGGAATTTATAAAATCATCTTTGGGAAAAAATTTGAACCTCCATCGGGAACGTCAGGATCTTTAGGAACATCTGGAATCTCAAATCGAAGTCAAGAAAGTCTGGAATCATATTGGTGTTCATCTGTAATCTCCGTTGTACACGTTTGTAATCTTCTTCGGAAACATCTGGAACTTCTTTGGGAACGTCTGCAATCTCTGTCGTCGGAAATGTTCGTCTGGAGCATCTTCAGGAAAATCTGGTATCCGCGTCTGGAAACTTTAGGGAATGTTTGGAACCACCTTAGAAAACGTCTCGAATTTAAATCAGGAACGTTTGGAAATCGGAAACGTCTGAAATCATATTCGGGAACGATTCGAATCTATGACAGGAACGTTTGAAATGCAGTTCGGTGTTGACTGAAATCTCCATCGAGAACGTCTGGAATCCTCTTCGGAAACGTCAATTATCTCGGTCGGGAACGTCTGGAAACTCCTTCCAAACCGTCTGAAATCATCTGGAATCTTCGTCCGAAACGTCTCGAATCTAGGTTAGGAGCGTCTGAAATCTCCGTCGTAAACGTCTGGAATCATCTTCAGGAAACATTCTGAACCTCCATCGGAAACGTCAGGATCTTTAGGAACATCTGCAATCTCGAATCGAAGTCAAGAAAGTCGAATCGTATTGGTGTCATCTGTAATATCCGTTGAACACGTTTGTAATCTTCTTCGGAAACATCTGGAACTTATTTGGGAACGTCTGCAATCTCTGTCGTGAACGGCTGAAATGTTCATCTGGAGCATCTTCAGGAAAATCTGGAATCTGCGTCTGGAAAGTCTGTAGTCATCTTCGGGAACTTTTGGAACCACCTTAGAAAACGTCTCGAATTTAAGTCAGGAACGTCTGGAAATCGAAAACGTCTGGAATCATATTCGGGATCGTCTGGAATCTCCGTTGAACATGACATTTGTAATCTTCATCTGGAGCATCTCGAATCCAAGTCAGGAACGTCTGAAATATCCGTCGGGAACGTCTGTATTCCTATTGGAGAACGACTAGAATCTCTATCTGGAATCATCCTCGGTAACGTTCCTGATCTTCTTCGTAAACATCTGGAATAATTTTCGGGAACATGCTTGGAAATGTCAGGAATCATCTTCGGAAACGTCTGAAATCTCCGTCTGAAGCGACTGGAAATCATCTTCGGAAACGTTTCTGGTCTCCGTTGTAAACGTCCAGAATCATATATACGTCTGGAATCATCTTCGAAGTCGAGTTCAGATTAGAAACGTCAGAAATCTCCGTCTTAAACATCTGGAATCATCTTTGGAAATGTCTGGTGCCTCCTGAGGAAACGTCTCGAATCTAATAGCGAATTCGTTTATTATTCAGTTCCAACCTGGATCGGGTATCAAGATTGGGTCTGCTTGTTTTCTGACAAACGTCAGTTTGCTCGTTTGTTTTTAAAACCTAGCTCAGGTTGAGGTTCACACTGACAAAAAGTTCGGTTTCACACTGGGTTGGAACTGGTGTTAACCCTGATAATAAACGAATTCGCTATCCAGCTTTCCATGCTCGGTAATGGCGGCCTGTTTGTATGAATAAATGTATCCTTCACTGTACTTTTTGACACTATCTGGATGTTCGAATTTCAACCCCTTCCCTTTCCCTCTCCCAGGAACAGTAGAAAATGGAACAACATACGCCCTCGAGTTAGTGTCAAAAAGCACAGTGAAGGATACGTTTATTCATACAAACAGGCCGCCATTACCGAGCATGGAAAGCTGGATAAGTCAGAAACGTCTGAAACCAAAATTGAAAAAGCCTGGAATCATACTAGGGATCGTCTTTATCGTGAACGTCTGAAATGTCCGTCTGGAGCATTTCGAATCCATGTCGGGAATGTCTGAAATATCCGTCGGTAATATCTTTACACGGCGAATGAGAACGACCCAAATTTGAGTTTAGTTCACTCATAATCGCCAAAAGTGCAGGAACTCAGCGATGAGTAAATTTGCCTCATGTTTTCCCAGGTTTTTCCAGGATTTTCCAGGGAAAAATTCCCGAATTTGAGAAAAGTAAAGATTGGATTCACTCAGTCTATTGGTACTACTCCGAGACTGAATAAAATTTTCGTCGATTTCCTCATTTTCCGGAAGATTTTTTAAGGTTTTCCACAGGAAACCATGAGACAAATTTTACTCATCGCTGAGTTCCTGCACTTTTGGCGATTATGAGTGAACTAAACTCAAATTTGCATCGTTCTCATTCGCCGTGTATTCATCTTTGAGGACGTCCCTGATCTCCGTCGTAAACGTCTGGAACAATTTTCGGGATCGTCTGGAGCGACTCAGATCCTTCTGGGAAACGTTTCTGATCTCCGTTGTAAACGTCCGGAATCATATTTTGCGACTTCTGGAATCTCCGTCGGGAACGTCTCGAATCTAGGTCAGGAACGTCTGAAATCTCCGTCATGAGCTCTGGAACGTTTGAAACTTCCGTCGGGAACGTCTCGAATCTTTGTCAGGAACGTCTGAAACCTCCGTCTGAAATCCAAATCGGGAACGTCTATAATCTTCAAAACGTTTGAAATCTTCGTCAGAAATGTCTGGAATCTTCGTCAAAAACGTCTCGAGTTCAGATCGGAAAGGTCTGAAATCTCCGTCGTAGACATCTGGAATCCTATTTGGGAACGTCTAGAATCATATTCGGAAACGTTTGGAACCTCCATCGGGAACGTGTTTAGATCAGGAACGTCTGAAATCTCCATCATAAACATCTGGAATCATCTTCGGGGTCGTCTTGATCCTCCTTAGGAAACGTCTAGGATCTAAGTCAGAAACGACTGAAACCAAAATCGAAAAACGTCTGGAATCACACTGGGGATCGTCAGGAATCTCCGTTGAACACTTTTGGAATCTTCGTCGGGAACGTAAGGAATGTTCGCCTTGAGCATCTCGAATCCAAGTCGGGA